AGACGTCGCGCAACAGACTCATCAAATTAAATGCATACATTATTATAATGAGCCCGTGGTAAGCCCGTGGTTCATTTCGTTCATGTCGCATGCTCAAACAGTGCCTTCGTACTCACTTTTCCCGCGCCTTTCCCACGTCGTATATTTTCTTCGCGCGAGTTATGTCTTCGTGGAGGAAAAAATTGCCTTCCCCCTGCACAATTTGTAAAAGGAATACGAAGTATTCGTGCATAACTTGTGGAAAAAGTGTTTGTGTCAGAGTTGAATGTTCTATTACTGAAGAGAACGAAGATACTTGGGTCTGGGAAGCAAACAAAAGCGTAGGTTATTGCCTGCCATGTGCTGGAGCTGCTGCAGGTGCTGGGCAAAACGAATTCTTCAGCGAAAACCGTCACCCTTTCGTTGAAATTGAACCAGCTGCTCTGGAAAATGAATCTTTGGACGAGGAGCGTTCTGATAACACCGAACCAGCTTGTGAGCTGGCTTGTGAAACCGATTCAGGCGAGGATGAAAGGTTTCAAAGCACTGACGAAGGAGTCAAAAAGGCAAAATGTGGGCGAAAAGCCAGTTGGAATGAAGATCAAATCACGAATTTGATAGATATCATAATCAATGACGATGAAATGGTAAAGAAAATCATATTTACCAATACCAAGAAAGCAAGCAATAGTGAAGTTGTTAAAAATGTGCTAACACAGCTTAATTAGAAGTACAATGCCACTACCCCATGGCAGTGCCCCCCCCCCCGGGGGGGCAACTACACGAAAGGACTTTCCTTTCGTAGTGGCACAGATGAGGAATAAATTTAAGCGGTGCGTCAGTACCCGTAAGAAGATTTGTCTAACAGTTAAAACTGCTTCAGGCATAACAAGGTTTATTGAAGATAAGGGATATGGAGAGTGGTTTAACCTTCTCTACGCGCTGGTAAAAACAAGAGACTCCTGTAAACCAGAAAACGCATGTGAACCTTCTGCTCTTCGTAGAAACGCAGATTGTATTGATTATGGAATCAATGAGGCCGATGATGAAGGTGAGGGTAGCAGTACTTCTAATTTCACAAATAAAAGTTCTCACCTTCCATTTAAGCAGAAAGTTGCACCTGTCAAGAAACCTACTTTCAAAAAAGCAAAACTGATCAGCTTGGCAAAGCTCTTGAATTGCTTCAAGCTACAATAGATAATGACCCTGCTAAGGAACTTTTGCAGATTTGAAAGAGGACATGAAAGACTTCCGAGAGCAAGAAATGAGTTACTTTGAGATGATGTGTGGGTTAATGAATCCTACCATTAATTCAAACCCTCTGGCTCATGGTAATCCCCATCATTATCATAGTTCTGCATTGCAACCCTTGATCAATGGTGGTACCTCCTCTAAAGAGGATCAGCATCAGATTTCTGGTGTTCAAGCTCTTAATCAGAGTGTGCAACGAAACTCTATGTTTCTACCCTAGTCTGCCGGCAGCCGTTCACGTACACCATCCTCGAACAGTCCTTTAACAGTTTCTCCAGGCAGTGCTGACCGGTCTCTTCTTAATCATGTCTAGGCATCAGTGGCTTCTCAACAGCAAGGTTTCGTTCCCCAATATAAGGACCTCAGGCCTGTAACACCAACGTATATGTATGAAGATTCAATTGGTCCTTCTGAGGGTGATTGGAATGTCACAGGAAGATTTGGCAAGTAGTTTGTCGACTGAAATAATAGTGAAACCAACGAGTTGCATAGAAGTTAAATTTCCTCTATGTGACATCATTGGAATTTACAATTAATTTCTTGTGTTGAAGTTTACCCAATGAATACATACACCTTAAATTTGTGAGGTGAGAGTTTGCTCTGGTTAAATTGTAAATAGGCTCTTTGCATGATAGTGTCACGTGACCTTGACAATCATAAAAAAAGGTGATGGCTAAAAATAGATGTCAGAAACAAAACAAGCATGCCAAAAATAGTAACATGCCAAGTTTGAGGCCTCTAGCATTGAGCAATGAGTTGTTATTGAAGTTTGAAAAAGTTGCCAGTGAACAAGGTGTTCCAGCAACATTGTTCTCTTTCCAGCAACATGGTTTTCACAAACCCCTGAATAAAAAATTCACTGTGCAATGCCAGGGGCTTCAAATGTGGCCATTTGGGACTTTGTCATGTGCCCCTTTTATTTCTGGCATCTATTTTGTTCCAAGAACAATTTTTATGGTGGACAAGGTCACATGACTCTATCATGCAAAGAGCCTATTTAAGGTTCACTAAACTTAATTTAAGGTTTTGCTTGATTTATTTTTTTTTCAAATTGGCTGGTATGTGGGTAATGGAAGTCAATAATCCTGCATGTAAATAAAATACATCACCTGTAATTTCTAAGTAAGGTCTGAAACTTAAAAAAGCAGTTCCAGAGAACTTCCATAAGAATAAATTATCCATACATTCAAAAACACTTTTATTAAACACATCATCAATCCTTATTGCCCCCAGAGAGATATACATGTCGGTTGTGACAAATCTCTGGAAAAGTTATTTTGTTATAAATATGAACATGTCCTCCTGAAAATGAGTTTTGTAAAATTCTGATTGCACTCCACCTTCCCATAATAATAATAATAATGATAATGATAATGATAATGATAATAAAGAATAATCAAACAGTGTTATGAACAGATAGAGCAACCAAATGGCTTATGGTCAAAATTTAACTTCATGTCATTGTTAACTCAAGTTTACATTTATCGTTACGTTTGGTTATCTAACTTTTTCATCAACATGTTATGGCTTTAAAAATACTGTAGATGTAGTCAGGCATAGTAATAAAATCTGAAAAGTTGTTGTCACTGACTTAAAAATCTTAAAATAGACGTTTCGGCTAAAATACTATAACCTTCTTCAGTGATGAAATGAATGTTAATGGCGTCTAAATGTAAATGAGATGTTTATAAGAATGTGAGGAACTCGCTAGGGATTAATTTAGCATTTTGTAAATGTCTGGAATATGCGCTTGGTCATTAATTGAGTTCGGTTCGCGAACGGAATGCCACGCTTCCAAGAACAATCTACGCGACCACAAGGGACAGCGGTCTATGACCTTGACATCATTAAAATCAAATTCGTGGTTGTTTTTCATATAGTGTTGCGCCAAAAGAGAGTTCTTGTCACATGTGAGGACGGCTCTTTTATGTTCTTTTGTTCTGGATCTCAGTGCTCTGGATGTTTGACCGATGTAAA